TTCCTCTGAGAGTGTGACTTCCTCAAAGTCACCCAGTGAATTTCCATGGCTGAGCAGGAACTCGAATTCTAGTCTCCAAACTCGAATTCTAGTCTCCAAACTCGAATTCTAGTCTCCAGAATCTTAATCCAAACTCAATCCACTACAGCATGCTGGGTTACTATTTATAAAATAATTTGTTTGTTGTACTTATTTTACTACTCTGAAGTAATGAAACATGGTCCAGACCTAGACATTATATTAGTATTGAGATTTCTCTGGGGGAAATAGTTATTCACGTAGAATTTTTTTGTGTTGGCAACAATTCAACGCCATTGATAAAAAAACCAGTATAAAACATCAAAATTGACTCTTCTCTGATAAAACATTAAACCTTTTTTAAACACATAAAATAACATCACATATCACACAAAGACATAGGCATTGTCTGTAAACAGTCCTGGGTTAATGCACTTTCGACTTTCACTTTAATTTTAAATATTCCTATGATGTGCCTGATGCTTGGTTCCACAGCCGAGTCTTTAGTTGTCTTCTAAAGGTCAGGAGGGATGGGTCTGACCTGATCTCATTCGGGAGGGAGTTCCACAGCCATGAGACCACCACCAAGAAGGCCCTGTCCGTCATCCCTTTCAGCCACAACCGTGAGACCAGTGGGGCTGAGAGCAGGACCTCTACAGAAAATTTTAATCTATGAATTGGTTAATAGAGGGAGATACGTTCAGACAGATATGTTGGACTGGAGCCATTTAAGACATTATAGGTTAAAGCCAGCACTTTGAATCATGCTCGGTAGCTAATAGGTAGCCAGTGGAGTTGCCGCAATAGGGGAGTTATATGCACCCTGTGTGACGCCCTAGTTAACAACATGGCTGCAGTATGTAGCTTCCAAACAGTCTTTGAAGGCAACTCCACTTAGAGCGCATTGCTGTAATATGTTATGAGACAGGACTTCATGGAAGTACTGAGAGCACTGCTGTAGAATCATAGAATCATAGAATCATAGAATCAAAGAGTTGGAAGAGACCTCTTGGGCCATCCAGTCCAACCCCCTGCCAAGAAGCAGAAATATTGCATTCAAATCACCCCTGACAAATGGCCTGTGATTTATTTAAGTTTCCAATGTTATAAACAATTATTTTTTAAAAATCTCAGAACAGAAGCTCTTGATTGGTGTCTGGTTTGCAGTAGAATAGGGTGGATTTCTCACAACTTCTGTAGTGTGGCAAGATAGCGACCTTTATTCAGTTCTGGTACTCAGAAGAAATTCCTGGACTCAGAATTCTATGGTTCTTTGTCATTTGTACTAGCTTCTGACTGACTGATGGATTCGGTTCCGGCCCAGCTTATCTATCCGAATGTATCTCTTCCTATGAACCCACCAGGAACTTGAGATCGTCGGAGGAGGCCCTGCTCTCGATCCCGCCTGCTTCACAAGCAGGTTTGGTGGGGACGAGAGACAGGGCCTTCTCTGTGGCGGCCCCTCGGCTGTGGAACTCCCTGCCTTAGGGATATTAGATCAGCCCCCTCCCTCCTGACCTTTCAAAAAAAGAGTGAAAACTTGGCTCTTCGAGCAAGCATTCGGAACCTCAGGATAAACAGACAAACTTGAATCGGAAAATGACCCAGGAACGGTTAAGACGATGGAATGGATGAGGAATTGAACAAGAGGATATAGTTTTTTAAATTTTTATTATTCACTTTTTTGTCTCTAAATGTACTGTAATGTTTCTTTTTTGCTCATGTATTTTTTGCTTTTTATCATGTATGCATGTATTTTATATATGGCATCGAATTGTGCCGATTTTGTATGCCGCCCTGAGTCGCCTTCGGGCTGATATGGGCGGGATAGAAATAGTGTAAATAAATAAATAAATAAACAAACAAACAGGTTCTACAAGTTTGAAATCTGTCCTTTCTGTGAATGAGAGGAATAAGCTCCATGCTTATTCATTTCCTGAATATATGAATTAGATATAATTTTGTAATTGTAATAAAAACAACTATTATGGATATTTCTTCAATAATACAATCTGAGAAGTTTCCAGGAGAGATACTAGAAGTAATGTTTATTCAAGGAACTAGAAATGAGGTCAAAATGAGTCTTGAGCTCAGAACACAATTTCTGAAATAAAGAAGTTAATTCAACATCAAAATTGTATCACTCCACAATCAAAATTTGTAAGCTAAATAAATGATGTAAATGATACAAATATTCAAAATATTTTAGATTATATGACTGAAGAACTGAAGTTCTTGTAAAATGGTAAAACTGTAAGGATTCTGATTTTATGCAGTGTAGAGATTTTGCTAAAATTATTATTATTATTTGTGAGTGACTTCCAAATGGAAGTCTTACTTTCTTCACTGACAGAGTTTAAGATTGATCATAAAGTCTTTAAAAGCTATCATGAAATCCTTTTAGTACTGTAATTCACATGTGTATTTATCTGTTCTAACAAGGTGGTATTATTTTATTTTTCTAGTAAGCTAGTTGTCAAGAGCAACTTAAAAATAGAAGGCCAAAGGCAGGTGACAAAATGTCATGCAGGCAGCACCTGGCACGGTGATTGAATGAACATGAACACACACACACACACACACCAGATGTCACACACTTGTTTCTATTTTTACATATAGATAAATAGCAGAGTTCTAGCATTAGCAAAGGAAAAGAGTGAAAAGATCTTTAGAGGTATTATTGATAGCATGTCTACTTTGTAAATTGTAATTAGCCATATAATAAAATGGCTGGAAGTCCATTCTGAGAGATTCTGCTTTCGAAGCGAATCTCTCACTGAAATCATTTTGCTAATAACTGTTTCAACGGATGTTTTTGTATTGTGTGGGACTCTTTTGTGGTCATTACTACAGTTTAGGATTTCCAGGCTGTTTCCTTCTCTGATATTTGGCTTATTCCTATCTGAAAAAGGGAGTTTGCCCTTGCATTTGGCGAAGTCTTCCACAATCTTTTGCACAGTCCGTCCTAGAAGCAAAAGGCAATTGTTATGTTTTTTTTGAGGGGCCTGATAACCCCCAAATTATTTAACCAAGGAGCCTAGACTGTCTCATCTGACATCTGTGTTAACTGGTAATACTACTGTGTAGCAACTTTTGTATCATCGCATACTGATTGCAAAGAATCTGGTCTGCCAGTTGAAGATATCAATCTCTAGTTATTTAAAGCATGATTGTGCTTTGATTTTCATTCAAACATCCTGCAGGGAGTTGAAAGCACAGATTTCAGCATGTTTTGTACATTGTGAAAGCATTTCTGTTTCCATGCTTGTACCGCAGAGATATAGAACCCCAAGTTTAATTATATCAGGATGTCTTTGAGGTGAAATCTGTAACCATCTTAAGAGGTTTGGGATTTCTAATGTGAATTTCTCTTCCCCTGTGCCTAGAATATAGCATATATAGACTGTTTGTCTATATATGTTGTGTGTCTATGGCATTGAATGTTTGCCATGTATACGTACATCGTATCTGCCCTGAGTCCCCTGCGGGGTGAGAAGGGCGGAATATAAATACTGTATATAAATAAATAAATAAATAAATAAATAAATAAATAAACATGGAAAATGTTTTATTTTAGTAGAGCACTAATATTAATCACAGATTTTGAATTAGTTGAGATACGTGCAATCATGCTGGATTCAAATTTAGTTAGAAAGTATAAAATCAAATAATACAGTCATCTCTCAACTTTGGCAGGGTTTAAGGGCACAGGACACCTGTGAAAGTGGAAAACCTGTGAATATCTGTATTCCGCCTGCTCCTCCAACCATATTTAACACAGAGAAAAATGCATGGCTCATTGATTCAACCCATTGCGGATTCAAATGTACAGTATATTCGCATTTGCAGTGGGAAGCATGCCAGTTGCCTGATTCTGCTTTCGAAGTGACTGGGTTCCATCACAAGGCAAAAGCAGGTGTTTGGTGGGGCCCCATCCAATGTTTGTTCTGCAAGATGGTTTGAATTGCTCAGGCTTGTAAATAAGTGTACCTAAAATTATTAGGCAAACTTGTGGAACTTCAAAGTTTATTATACTTCAGTTCCCACCAGCTCTATTCAGCTTGGCTGATAGAAAGGAATGATGGAGTTTAAGTTTGTGAGCATGAGGAGTGCATTGTAGTGTTCATAGCATTTCATATAGACAATAAACACCTGTTTGAATGATTGAAGCCACCCTGTAAAACAGGTTAATTCATTATCACATCTCCCATCACACCAAATAAAACAAGACTTTTCTGACTCATTGTTCACTCTGTTAGGACTATGCTTCATTTCAAAGAGCTGTAGTGTTTTTTTTTAAATGTATACACAACCATTAGTGAATCAAAATGTGATCACTGTAAATTGCAGACGCTTTCCTTGAGCTGATCTCTGGATGGGATGCATACCATGTTCTGTTGAGGATCATGGTGAATGTTTTTATTTCTATTTCTGATGTCTGCAGTCAGTTAAGCAAACATTGAGTAAAATTTTCCACATTCTTCCAGGAGATTGATAGAATTGGAATTTATGAGGAAACATTGCAATATATAGTAGTCAAACATCTCTGTAGGATTCTTCTTAAGAGTTCCCCCCTTGAAGTGCTCGTGATAGGGGGAAATTCGCATTTTCTTGTTCAGGGCTCAAGATTTTACATAAGACATTTGTTACTTGCTATAATTGAAAAATTAAAATGTATTGTCTGCGATTGTTTCAAAAATTAAAATCTGACAAGTATACACATGAAATTTTATTAAGTTTTAATAAATTAATAAAAGGAGATTGGAAGTGTTTTCAAGGTTATTCTATTATTCCCTTGTTCTGTTTTCAAGATGCTTGTTTTATCTTCAGCAAACTATCATAGTTATGTGTGTTTATCACAGCTGTAGAAAGAACACTTTTAATTCGTCTCATCACTATTTTATTAAGTTGGAAAATTTAATATTGAAGAATAGCCTAATTTATATAAAGCCTGATGACAGAATGTTCTTTTTCTATTTTAGGTCGTATGGGTATAAATTTTCATCATCCGGGAACAGACAACATTATGGCTCTCAATAGTAAGTTTGTACCTTTCTATCTGTGCCTTATAATGCATTTTATACAGATTGAGTACCTACCCTTATCTTAAATGCTTGAGACCAGAAGTGTTTTGGATTTTTTTCAGACTTGCATATATATAATAAGATATTTTGAACATTAGTCCCAAATGTAATACAAAATGCATGTATACACCTTACACATATAGCCTGAAGGGAATATTTTATACAATATTTTAAATAATTTTGTACACAAAAACGTGTATATACATTGATTTATCAAATACCAAAAATGTCACTATCTCAGCCAGCCATACACATAAATTTGGATTTTGACTTTTGGAATTTTAAATAAGGATGCCTAACCTGTGTATTCATTATGGTTTTCCATATATTTTGATACAAAATGGAAAAAGGGAAATCAGAATATATCAATTTCTATATTTAATCAGTCTCTAAAATCTGTTTGGTAATCTAGAAAAGATCACATTTACTCAATATGATCTTCTAATCAACTGACATTAAAAGGACTACTTCTGTAGTTCTGAAAGGCACACACTCCTCCATTGGACCTCAGAGGACTTCCTTATTACCACTCCACATTTTTTTTTACATTAAAAAGTTCCTCATAACCTGTAGGAAGAACATTCAGCAGTTTTGTCACATCCTTCCAAACTGTCTTAAAACCTAAATGGACTTCCTTCAAAATGAGAATTTGGGAAGGAGGAGTCTCAACCCCCTTGTGACATAATTGCTCCTCATCATCTGGGAGGGTTTGAAGGGTCCTTTTAAATATGTGAATTGGATGGGATCTACTATATAGTATAGATGTTTCTTCATTGGACCATCAGAGTTTTTTGTTTACCTTAATTAAGAAAAAGATGATGTTGTATAAAGAAATAATTACAAAGCATCTTATGGTCATATGTCAATCTTGTTTTCATAAATATTTAACTTAGTAGGGGAAGTGAAGTTTAGTTTATGTTTGTGCCTTTCAAAATGTAGCTCTACCCTACCTCAGTGGTAATGGGAAAATCAGGGCCATTTCTAGTCTCTTCAGCTGGGTTCAGAGGCAAGGAGAATGGCGTACTTTCAGTTTGTTTTCAAAACTTCTTTGTTACAAATCTATGGGATGACAAGAATTTTTATCCAGCATTTCTCTTCAAGTTAGTTTATTGTTACATATCATTACCATCTGAGGTGAAAACCCCAGTAAATTTAATGGTTTGGACTGGTTTTCTGATGTCCTTCCTACTGCTGTGCTGGAAGCTCTGTCATAACCATTGTTGACCTGAAATGGGGAAACAAACTAGACATGAACACTGTTGGATGTCGTCTTCCTGTTTTTCAGGTCTGGTCAGTTCCTTGGTTTCCTGAGAAACTAGAATGAATGAATGAATAGTAATGAGGAACTGACTATTACACAAATGGCAGAAAACCTGAGACAAAATTTTCTAGACACAAATTGGTGCCTATGTTAACACTTACTTGATGCAATATTAATAACAAATTTATCCTATGGTATAGCTATCCCTATACCATAGGATTGCAAGATGATATATAAGTATATATATACACACACACACACACACACAATTTAAACTATAATAATTTCATTGAAATAGATTAAAAGCAATCTAACAACATAAAACAAGGTAAAACAACATAAGCTGTGTAATTGTATAGAGATTTGGGTGGAATTGTTAGACCTCAAAGGTTAAAATAAAAAGACATATTTTGGTTTGGGTCCCGGAAACAAGGCAATAGCACTACCATTTGGGTTTCTAAGGTAAGTACATTCTGCCAATAGGTGCCATAGCAGAGAAGACCCTGTCTCACAGCCTTACACCGTATATTGCCTCAAATAATGAGGGGCCAGAGGACAGGCTGTCTAGCAGCCCGAAATCCTTGAAAACTCTTATCCAGTTCTTTCGAATATTGAGGTTCCAAGCTACTTAGAGCTGTAAATGATATCACAACCAGCTTTAATTTAGTGAAATAATATTGGCATCTAATACAATTTCATTAAAGCCAGCATTTATGATTACTTCACTCTGTTCTGTCTACCTATCTAGCTACTGTGTTTAGTACTGGCTTCAGCTTCTGAGTTGGCTTCAGGTGCAGCCTGGGTAGAGTGCAGTGCAGTATTGCAAATGGAAAGATACCATTGCATGAAGTACTGTAGTCAGGTTATGCCATGTCTGGAAAGTCTATAGCTAGCAGACACATTTGAAGTTATTGCTAGGCACTCCAAGCCAAGCCACCATAGCCTTCCAGTGACAAAAGTTGAATCTTTCAATCTACACAGTGATCCCTCAGGGGAGGGACTTGCTGATCCAATGCCAAGATCTGGAACTTTCCACCCACAGTGCATCATTCTTAACATAAGCATCCAACCCATTGCAGAATTCAAAAACTGGTCCAGCAGCTGACATTCCCAGCTGACAAACAACGTGGACAAATAGAACTGATGGCAGCCAACACCCAAATTCCTAGTGACCTCACCCAGAAGCTTCACAAAGATATTAAATAACTTGATGGACAGGGTGGAGCCATGTAGCATCCCACAGCATAATAGTTCAGGGACCTGCCCTATAAATCAGCAGCTCCTCTTTCCATATGACAGAACTGGTTTTGAAACAAGACCAAAATGAATTGAGACAATCTGTTTCCTCTTAGAATGTCTGAATTTGCCCAGCCAACACTCACCTGAGTAGCTTGCCCTAAAAGAACTGTTGAACTAGCAAAAATCTAATAGTCTGAAGATGCCAGCCACAGATACAGAAGAATATGTTGCTAGAACACGGCCATATAGCCCTCCAACCCTCCAACCCTCCAATAATCTAATAGTTGTTTCATACCTCTGAGTTCAGGGAGGTCCTCTTCAGGAGTGGATGCACTACTGTCTCTTTAAAAGCGGGAGGCACCTCTCCCTGATAAAGAGAGGGGCAATTACTATCCCCAAACCCACTCAATCAATCCGCCTCTTCTCATTCTGAAAGCTACCCAAAGTAGCATTATCTGATTAAACAACTTTCTGTATTTCACAAACATACAACAACTTCATTTGTTGCTGTAATAATATTTGATATAGCTCTGTAAACAGTACAAGCAATTACATTAATGTGGAAATTGATGTCTCATGCTGAACGTCTTCTCAGACAGTGACATCTGAAATGAGCTTATGTTCTCATTTAATAGGAAAGAAAAAGGGAGGGTGGTAGGACCAGAGATGACTATGATGCTGGAGCATAGCATCCAATTATATGTTACTCAGTTTTTATAATTCTGTATGCCTTCCATGCAAAATTGATCTCATATTTGCTAGTACTCCTCTAGGATTTAATTTATCAAGGAGTCGGATAGTATGCATTATAGACAATTGAAACCTGTGTAGTTTTTTAAAAAGCATACAAATTTAACATTCATGAAATATTAAATTTTGCTTTTAGGTTTTAAGAGATTAATGTTGTTATACAAAGAAATGGGATTTGCTCTGGAACATAGTACTTTGCACTTTTATTCTGCTCTCTAGCACTTCTTGAATCTGTTGCAGTGGGTTGTAATAAGAAAGATATTGTAATAAGGAAGATGGGAAGAATGCAACAATCTCCCTCAAGTTATAAAATACTTTTTATGTAAGACGTTGGATGTTCTACTTCACAGTTAATATATATGAGGGTGAGCTCAATGCTTAAAAAATAATTGGTCAAGGTAGGATTTGGTTATGTTGAATTCTCTTCCAGCTTTCCATTACATGTCAAACAATTGGGGGGGGGGGGCACTTTTTTAAGATAGAGTCATGAAACGGGGAATATTTTTTAAAAAACGAGAACAGGAAACAGAAGTGGTGAATAACTGAAAATTAAACCCCCTTTCTGGTTGTTGCAGAACTACTGTTTGGTTAGTAAATGCTCTAAGAAATTTTAGCAAAAATTGTGAGAGTCAGTACTGGTGTTTTAGAAAGGAACTGTTATAGTCTGTTTGCTCTTACATTTATTTCAGAAATGTATGCATGTTAAAAGATTCAGTGAATACAATGCATGGGAAGGGTAATGAGCAACAAAGAGAGACTCTGTGGATTGGTGCCATAATTTGAGAACAGAAATATTGCACAATAGCCCTTGCTTCAGGAATGGATATAGTTAACTTAGGTGTGGTTTGGGTTTATATGCTGTATCTTACACTCTGGGCCATGTTTAGGAGAGAAGTCCATCTTTAAAATGCCCTTTATAATTTGGAGTCTCCTTTGTCTCAAATATATATAATATCAATAATGTTAGTAAGCCTCCAAATCCTAGTACTTGTATAATGAGGAAAATGTTGTCTAAACTGGGATTATTATTGTTTGAAATAGTTAAATGTACTACATAGATCAGTGATGGGCAACCTTTTGAGCTTGGTGTGTCAAAATTTGCCAAAAACCTGAGCATAACTTGGGTGGAGTGTCACTTCAAGAAAAAAAAACATAATTTTGCAATATTTATAGTTTAAATAAGAAAAATGTATAAGCCATGCTGAGTTATGGAGTGGACAATGCTCAAACGTGCAGATGTTAAATTTGTAGAGCCTTTTACAAATTTAAGGATGGAATTAGATTGGCTCTTATAAGGTGTATTGCTCTGTATGTGGCCACATGTGTCTGCGTGTCATCAAAAATAGCCATGCGTGTCAGTGCTGACACACGTGTCATAGGTTCACCATCATGGACATAGATCATACCTGTTAACATTTTTTCTAGTTTTGCATGTTTCATTTATGTCTTTTTACACCTTTGACTTAAGGGGTATGTAGCATTCCAGTGGAGGTAATTTTTTTGTGCAGAGGTCATGTTGAAATGAACAAAGATTTTGTTATCCAGGAATAGAAAAAAAACTCTTGTTTTTTTGCTATAGTTTTAAAAGAAATAGAAGACCAGAAAGGCTTCTTAATCTTACATTTATGGCCCAGATTCAAAGTCCTGCATGAGTACTTTTTAGACCCCTCCAAGCAGCCTTATAGTGCTTCTGAAAGGCCTTTCA